CAACTTATCACAATCCAAACCATTTCTGGAGAGACATGACCAATGTTGGTCTTTATCCTTTCTCTCTCTCGGTCCGGCCTCGCTTCTCTGAGCTTCCTCGGGCAGCTTTCCCCAACCGTCCTCCTCTTAGGTTAGTTCTGCTCTTCGTATCTCTCTCTTCTTTCGCATTCTGATATTTTTGGTTTCATCAAGGTACGCCGTCCTTGGTGCTGGTTTTGCTGGAATCTCTGTTGCGTGGCACCTGCTTAAGGTACCTAATGTATTCATTTTGAGAAAACAGTATGAGCTGGTCCAAATTTCTTCCAAGAAAACCTTTTGCCTTTGTTTAGCAGGACTGTCCAAAGGATATGAGATTAAGTGTCGACGTATATGATGAAATTGGCATAGGAGGTAGGGCTTCTGGTGTTTCTGGAGGGCTCCTCCACCCTTATTCTCCAAAAGGTAGATGAATATTGCTTGCCACTTTTTTCTCATATCTGTGAGTGAAGCTGACTTTGGTGTAACAGCCACAAGACTTGATTGTATTGTTTTAAAGTTTAGTTTCATAGAATTTTTAAACTTCATTTCAGGCAAGCTACTTTGGCATGGTGCTGAGTGTTGGAGAGAATGTTTAGAGCTCTTAAATGTTGCCGAGACAGCAGCTTCTTCCACTTACCCATCTGTTGCAGAGAAGGGAGACTGTAATGATAGTTTCGGAAACTTTATGGTTCGAAGAAGGTATACTCTCAACGGATATGGAATTTTTGTACCTTCACAAGGATTCATCAATACTTCCACTTCCTTTTGCCCAATCTTAGAAGCTGGATTATGTGTTAAATAAAAATGTTGGCTTCTGATTCCGTTGACTCTTTAAATTGACAAAGTTCTTCTTGCTCCAGGGGTATCTTGAGACCAGCTACAAATGCCAAGACTTTGGGTTTAATGAGTGATGTAAGTTCTCTTGACTCAGATAGATACCACATAGATGTTCACTAAACACAGAGTTTTACTGTTTCTTACTTGTCCGATTAGAATGCTCGAAACTGCCTTGCCAGTTGTGTAGTAGACACGATTGACAAAGATGGTGCCCAAACTCTTGTCCCCAATCTATGTCTCCCCTTGAACTGCGCCTTCTATTATCCAGGAGCTATGAATGTTAATCCACAGTCCTATCTCCAGGTTCGGAGACATAAGAAAACACATTTTGAATTTACCTGTTAGCACCAAGCTTTTTACGTTTTTCTTTACTGAGTTTTTCTTCCCTGTAGGCACTCTTTCTAGCATGCCAGAACTTAGCAAGAGCATCACTTGGAATGAAAAACATAACTTTGGTGAAGAAATCTATAGATGACGTGCTCGAACTTGAAGGTGAATGATTTTCTCAGGTTCCTCATCCTTTGCTCTTACTATTTGAACAATATTCTTATATTTTTTCGTTAACCATGGCACTTGCATAAGCTTTATGGAAACTTCCTCAAGCATAACCTTGGATTACTTTTAGATGATTTTGATCTGAAAGCTTTATGTGAATCCATGAAGACAGTTTAGTTGCCGCTAGTATCCATGCTTTGCTCTTTGGTCCTCGCTAGTATGGTCAGAATTTAAATTTGGTATGAACAGATTGTGTTGTTATATGTAGGAGAATATGATGCAGTTGTAATATGTCTTGGATCCAAGGTAGACTTTCTTCCAGAGCTTACTGGAAAGCTCCCTTTAAGGACATGCCGAGGTGTCATTACTCATATGCAGTTACATGAAAGTGCCAAGTAATTCTTCTCTGTACTGGCATTACTATATCTCACTTGGCAACATGTCTTATTGGTTGGTGTAGTATTTTTGTCCTGGTGAAGAATTTTCTTTGTTGGACTCTCTACTGCAGGGGAAGTTACCTGGATGGTGGACCTTCGATCTTGTCAGATGCATGGCTGGCAGTTCAGGGACCGCGTAATCTTCACATGGGATCCACATGGGAATGGCAATCAAGAAATTATTCATCGGATGTTTCAGACGAGGAAGCTTCAAGAGCTCTAGACGAGCTTCTTCCAAAGGCTAGTGTAGTTTATCCAGACATAGAGAAGTGGGATTTTGCGGGAGCAAGGGCGGGTTTGAGAGCAATGCCACCGGTCACAAGCCATGGGTCATTGCCACTCTTGGGAAGTATAGATCAGCTCGTAGGTGCGGCAAGTGGGTCTTGCAAATTCTGGGTATTTGGAGGGCTTGGATCAAGGGGATTACTCTATCATGCTTGGCTTGGAAAACTCATGGCTAAAGCTGTTTTATGTTGCAATGAAGAACCAATTCCTTCTGAACTAACTTCTTGGAAGAAAAAGAGTAGTAGTAATTGTTCAGTTTCTTAGTCACCAATGAATTCTATAATTACATATTCGTTTTTTTGGTTAATATGTATGTATGTGAAATTTGAAATAGAAAACAATAATACAGCAGAAAAGATGATTGGGGAAATGTAAGGAAGATATCTTGAACACTCCTTTCTTGAAATCATGAGAAATTTATAACTATTTTCATGCTAAGCATGGATTACATGATTCTCTAATCAAAAGTGTATAAATCTATTTGAAGATTCCTAGGGAATGTGAATGGTGGTGCTATCTTTTTTCTCTTCTTTTTATGCAGTGGCATGCTTCATGAGACATATAGATAGATCTATTCATCTAAGTAGAACTGTGATAAGATTGACTCCTCATACCAATTACTGCAACATTCACTGAATATCAAGTGGGTTTTGTTTTTGCTTTGCCAAATTTGAGAGGCATTTATCTGTTCACTATCTAGCTTTGAGTGTTTATATAATATATTCTTGAATAGTATTGCCTTGAGGGCTACTGGTTGTTGCATATACATCTTGTCTTTCTAAAAGGTAAACA